TCTTTCCACACACACACACACACACACACACACACACACACACACACACACAGAAAGTGATGTGTGTATATGCGCATGTCTATGTTTTCAGGTCGTCTGAGGCCCATCTCTATGCCTGTAGAGTATAATTGGGTTCCTGACTACGAGGACCCAGCTAGAATGAAGAGAGAAGGTCGGAGAGGTGAGTTGTGTCAGTCACAGTACTGTAACTATACATGGTTATTCTCTTGTTTTTATTTTTTTCCTCTCCTTTTTACTCTTAGGTGTTCTGTTTTTCTCTGTTTCTAGGTATTTGACACAATTTTTAATACAACATCAGGATTTTTGGGTTTAATAACATTATTAGTTAATAAAATGTTATTTTATTCCAAAATGAATTTAAAGTAAACATTTTATCATTTATAATCAGAATGAAATTTAATTTTATAGATGGCCTTTTCATAGACTTTAATTTTCTTATCCATTATAATTTCACATTGGTTCTGTGGTCTGAAATGATCTGAAAATGATCCTATATAAATCACTATATATATATATATAATTAGTTTGTAGTCTTGCTGACTACCAGAAACTGTCCAAACACTTTTTATTGGTTTGTTTTAAATGGTCCTGCAGTGTGATTAATAATTTTTTAACAGTACAAATGATCCATTTAATCTCTTAATTAAAATGAGGCCATAAATAAATATTGATGAATTGAAAAATATTTGATTAAAATAGTTATAGATAGCATGTCCTACTGCAGGGAACTGTTGACACCCCTTGAATTTTTATGCCAGCATCTCTTTCTTGATTTTAACCACCAGAATTATACTGAATCATGAAAAGTGGGTTGTGGTATTAAATCAGTATCAGATGAGCAAAAATGCTGATATACTACAACATTGTGATATTGCTTTTATGCAGCAATTCTACAAACAAGAAGTTAATGTAGAGCAATTGACATTTAAAACACAAATATGGTCAGCTATTTTGTTCAGCTTCCCCATCCGCATGGCCTTGATTACATCAGCAGAAAAAGATGTGGAGAACGTTATTACATTTTAGTGGAAAGTACTAGAAATGAAAAGACTTATTCTTTAGAATATACACTGATGAATTACACAAAATAAACATGAACATTAATGTCTATTTTATTCAAAGTAAAGAATTGTATAAATAATACAATTTCCAAAATTATTATTATTATTACTTATTTAAGTAAATAGGGTCCATTTTAATGTTTTTTTTGTTGTTGTTGTTGTTTTATATTTATCCAGAATATAATTTTTACTTTCAAACACATCAACGTTTTCCATCTGTTGATCTTCTTTCTCAGTTTTGATCTCATTCTGCCTGAATTTCCCTTCATTGTTTCTCACTGTTGCTGTGTTATTACATTCTCATGGCTCTTATTCAGGAGTGATGTTTAGCTGAGCTCTTTTTCATGGATCTAATTCTCCTCGCTGTGCGGTGGCTCTGAACTGCACTGGGCATTGCTGATTACTTCCTGTGGCCACGCTGCATGCAGTGCCAGGATAACAGTGGCAGTCTCTCAGCACCAACACAGAGCCAGTGTGCGCTAGGCCCGAGACCGTCTCAATTGGCTCCTGCTTTAGAAATACAGTCCAGAACTCCCGACAGAAATAGTTGGACTGCAAGAACGTAGACAGATAATATCAATGAAGCTCTTTCATCAACATTTTACTTACTGTGTTCTTTATTATAAGTTCAGGGTAAAGTTTGGCTGGTTAGTCAATCTTCGTCACTTCCTCATCACCATCTTCATTGAGGCTGCTGGGGCAGCATCTTTTGTTTTGACTCACTCATGTCGTGTCTTACTGCTTTCCCACGCTAATTTGTTTGTTTTCTTTCGGTGGTCCTCTCCAGGACTTGCTGTTGCCCAAACCCCTCTCTTCTCTCTTCTTTGTGGCACTTGTGTGTCTTTATATGTGTGTTTTTGAGCGAGGGGGTGGATGATCACCTGGCTGTGTCTCCTGGCTGCTATTTGATCCCGTTAAGCAGCTCTGTCTATCCGCATTGTGTGGAGATTAGCGCCTTGATAGCTCTCTTATTTCCTCACTTTCTCCGGTTCCCTCTTTTCCTTAAAACTCCGGGGAGAAAATGCTGGTGGTGAGGCTGCCAGATGGTGTTTAGCTGAGAGTAAGAAAGATGGGGAAAGAAGAAAGAGGCACTCGAAGGAGATTGCAAGAGTGATGTAGGAAGAAGATTGTGATACAATGTGAGAGTGGAGGGAGGGTCAGAAAGGATAAAGATGTATTAAGGTCACCCACAGCTCGGAAATCTTGGTAATTTGTCATTTCTGGATAACAGTGACAGGTTTTTTTACTGTCAGAATGGGTGTTCTACCAAAGTCATCCTCTGTATTGTTGACAATGCATTCAAAATGAAAAAAATTCATACATTCAGTTTTGGGGCTTGCTTTTCAAAAAACAAAGATAAAAGAGAACGGCTGCAGAATTTTAATTGTGTTTTTGGGGGGATAAAATTTGGAATTGTGATTTAAAATTGTATTTAAAATAAATAAATAACTAAATATAAAACCTTCAGACTTGCTGTGCTTGTGTGTAGGGCTGCACAGTTTGGCCAAAAATGTTGCGATTATATATCAGTACGGCTATATACTACTACTGTCACAATTTCACTCGGAGCGGGGAGACGAGGAAACGAGGAGACTTGCTCAAAGTCACAGTCTTCAATGAGTGGATGATCACCTGGCTGTGTCTCCTGGCTGCTATTTGATCCCGTTAAGCAGCTCTGTCTATCCGCATTGTGTGGAGATTAGCGCCTTGATAGCTCTCTTATTTCCTCACTTTCTCCGGTTCCCTCTTTTCCTTAAAACTCCGGGGAGAAAATGCTGGTGGTGAGGCTGCCAGATGGTGTTTAGCTGAGAGTAAGAAAGATGGGGAAAGAAGAAAGAGGCACTCGAAGGAGATTGCAAGAGTGATGTAGGAAGAAGATTGTGATACAATGTGAGAGTGGAGGGAGGGTCAGAAAGGATAAAGATGTATTAAGGTCACCCACAGCTCGGAAATCTTGGTAATTTGTCATTTCTGGATAACAGTGACAGGTTTTTTTTACTGTCAGAATGGGTGTTCTACCAAAGTCATCCTCTGTATTGTTGACAATGCATTCAAAATGAAAAAAATTCATACATTCAGTTTTGGGGCTTGCTTTTCAAAAAACAAAGATAAAAGAGAATGGCTGCAGAATTTTAATTGTGTTTTTGGGGGGATAAAATTTGGAATTGTGATTTAAAATTGTATTTAAAATAAATAAATAACTAAATATAAAACCTTCAGACTTGCTGTGCTTGTGTGTAGGGCTGCACAGTTTGGCCAAAAATGTTGCGATTATATATCAGTACGGCTATATACTACTACTGTCACAATTTCACTCGGAGCGGGGAGACGAGGAAACGAGGAGACTTGCTCAAAGTCACAGTCTTCAATGAAACAAACGGAATACCACTGCGGCACTCAGGAGGACATTCAACGCTGAACATAGGACACTTGAAACACTGGGTTTATATAACAAGCAACTAAACGATAACCAGCTGAATCAAATAGAACAAAACGAGAACAGGAAACAGGAACACCAAATAAGGACGTTACACACGAGGAAACTAGGTCAGGGGGAGTACTGTGGAGACGACAGTCTAATGGGTGTGACAACTACTACTACTAATACTACTACTACTAATTATTATTATTATCATAACTGAATAAAAATATGAAAAAAAAAAAAAGGAAATGTTACATTTGCTGCATAGTTTGACAAATATTATTATTGTTATTATAAAATAATATTATTAAAACATTATAAATTTAATATTAAATATTTAATAAAAATCAAATAAAATATTAATAATAAAAATATTACAATAATTCTATTTCAATTTTAAATAAAATACCAAGTATTTAATAATAATAATAATAATAATAATAATTTTATTCTACAGTAGCACTGTAAAATTACAATATTATTTATGGTGGGCTTCATTTTTGAATTTTCAAATGTTCAACCATCAGAGAGCACTTAAAGCTTCTCTTTTCTTGACAACAGCTGGTTTAGAATTTCCCATTACAAGTTTAGAAAGATGTTTGGTGCATGTTAGCATTCCAAAATTAACATAAGTGACCCAAACTCATTACAGATGCCGTTTGGAGCAACATTTACTGTGAACCGAACCACTCTGAGACACTGAAAACACAGGATCATGAGCTGCTCATGTGTAAATGAACTCAGTGCTGCACTTCACTCACACACAATGCATATATTTATGAAATTAAAGGGATAGTTCACCCAAAAATGAAAATTCTGTCATTAATTACTCACCCTCATGTCATTCCAAACCTGTAAGACCTTCGTTCATCTTCGGAACACAAATTAGATATTTTTGGTGAAGTCCAATAACTTTCGCATGGACAGAAACGTTCCCAGACCCAGAAAGGTAGTAAGGACATCAGTAAAATAGCATGCATCGTGGTACTCTCGGAAGGTGCGTCAAAGACTGATACAGAAGAGACGGAAGAGAAGAAATCGTTGAATAAAATCGTAATTTTTGTTTTTCTTTGCGCAAAAAAGTATTCTTGTATCTTCATAAAATTACAGTTGAACCTCTTATGTCACTTGGACTATTTTAACGTTGTTCTTACTACGTTTCTGGGCCTTGAACGTGGTAGTTACATTGCTGTCTATGCAGGGTCAGAAAGCTCTCAGATTTCATCGAAAATAACTTAATTTGTGTTCTGAAGATGAAAAAAGGCCTTACAGGTTTGGAATGACATGAGTGTGAGTAATTAATGACAGCATTTTCATTTTTGTGTCAACTATCCATTTAATTGTGCAGCCCTACGTTAAGGTACATTGTAACTGATGGATCATCCAGACTGATATTTTAGATCCATCCACTTCTTGTCCAATTTAATGAGTTTTATACTGCAGTTCATTAAATTTTTACAACTCAAGAAGTTACAATTAATTAAATAATGATTTATAATTACTCTGAGAGGTTGTGTACCCTGTCTAGATTAACGTACTGTATGCAATTTAAAATCTGCCACCTCTTCAACTTTTCCATCAGCGTGAGGGAAGCTGAGCCGTAAAGAAGAGGGAACTTCTTCTGGAAGCATGCTGTTGCCATGGAAACTCTGACAGGAGCTCTCCCGAGTGTTTCACGTCCCATTGGCTGCTGCTGGGCAACGGTGGACATGGGCGTGGGAGAAGGGAAACCCGAACAATGGCTGCGGTGGTTCCTAAATCAAAGGATGAGCATAAATCGGGACTGCTGGGAGCCCGTTGGTTTGGCTCGCTAATATGGCTGTGACCAATCGGCTTGTTATGCTCATTAGGCAAGAATAAGCCTATAGAGTTTGATTGGATTCGACTGATTTGGGAAGAGTGCACAGGCTTAAGTAGTGCTAATGATAGACCTCTATTGAGGGAATGAATCATTGTGATTGGCCAACTGAGGTTTGGAGTATTTCGAGAGGGGTTTGGGATGCTTGATTGATGGAATACTGATGCGAGCTTATTCAGTGATTTGACACAGTACAGCCTGGAAAATGGGTGTACTGTTTGAGAAGGACTGGATGTACAGATGTAATTTTGATTTACTGAACATGCCAAACTGAATCTATAATGCCTGATTAACCATAAAAATGGTGACATTGTTGGAAAAAATTGATTTAAAGGGACAGTTCACCTGAAAATCCTGTCATAATTTACTCACACTCATGTTTTTCACCCATATGACTTTCTTTTTTCCATGAAACACAGAAGTTTTGAAGACTTGAGTTGGGACTGTCAGCTACTGTTATTAAAGATATTGTTCTTTCTCCCTCTCAGAAAACTCTCTGTTGCGCTATGTAAGTGATGAGAAGGCCGCTGATCTGGCAGGGCGCAGCATGAAAAGAGACACAGGAAAACGCGGCAAGAAGAAGAGCGAAAAGAGCGGGAGCCCCACCCACTACACCCTCCTCCCGACCCTCCAAATGGAGGTGCTCCGTCAGGAATCCATGAACACGCCTAACCCAGACTCCACCTCTCTTTACCATGTGAGTAGTATGTCTTCTGTTGAAGTCCTCTGAAGGGAGTTGGTTTATTCTGTGGCCATTTTGACGGCATGTCATCTCCAAAACTGTCTGCCAAGCTTATGTTTCAGTAACAAAAAATATATTAAAGTGAATGGTTCTTTGGATTTAAAGGTGGGACTTCATTTTTTTTGCAGCCACCAATAGAGTTGGACTGTAAATATTTTTGTCTTGTTTTTCAATGTATTTACTAAAATATCCTTTAAAATCATAAACTACTGTTCAAATGTTTAAGGTTAGAGGTTTTTTTTATTGTTTGAGTGTTTATGCTTAAGGAGACAATAAACGGATGAAAATTTACAGTAAAGACATTTATAATGTTACAAAAGATTTCTATTACAAATAAATGTTGTTCCACTTTTTATACATCAAAGAAATATTAATCAGCACAACTGTTTTCAACATTGAAAACAATAAGAAATGTTTCTTTAGCAGCAAATCAGCATATTAGAATGATTTCTGAAGGATCATGTGACACTGAAGACTGGAGTAATGATGCTGAAAATTCAGCTTTGCCATCACAAGAATAAATTACATTTTAAAATATATTCAAATAGAAAAGTTATGTTGAATTGTAAAAAATGTTTGCTGTATTTTGATCAGCAGTCTTGGTAAGCATAATAGACTTCTGTTTTAGGTAATGGATTAATAAAAATACATTTGTTAAAAAATTTAAATATCTTGTGCAGTTTTGCAGTCATGTTTTAAGGATGTTACCTGCGAAACAAGACAAAAATACTGATTAAGAAAATGTTTTTGCTTTGTGCGTTTACAAAAGGTTCTTTGCTATTGAGCTGAGTGGTAGTATGTGTGCCTTTTATTCGACATGTCTCAATCAGGTTCTTTCTCTTTGTCTAAGAATGTCTCTTTTTGAGTGTGACAGTCTAGATCAGGCTAAACTCAGAGATTGTGAGGAATATCGCACAGTGTCTGTGTTCCTTTTATTTTCTGTTGCTCAAACAAAGTAACAAAGAGTCATTCTTCAAGCTGCTTTCATCGGTTCTTTGCTCGACCAAGGTCTCTGTGATCACTGCAGGTAGAGTCTTACATAAAGAGTTTTCATTGAAAGCACCATGTCATGGTGTGCAGAAGGAGAATGTATACTTTCGCCCACATGCTAGGTGAGTGTTTGTGTGTGTGTGTGTGTGTGTGCATATAATGAGTGTGTTAGTCCTCTACCTTTAGTCAGTGTGGAGGTGTGTGGGAGTTTGTGCTCAGCCCTGTGTGTGTGTGGGGGTGAGTGGGTTTTCTCAGTGAGACTAGCTGCCCTGTGTATGAAGTTATTAGGAGTGGAGGTGAGATCTAGCTGTCATTTTTAAAGAGGGAACGTGGCAGCCGATGTTCTTGAGCGCACACACACCGACACAGCCATAACCACACACACAAACACCAAGGGAAAACTAATAATCCGGGGAAAAGTGACTCTGAGTGGTGTGTCACAGTGTGCATATGGATACTGAGTAGGCAGATGGTGGTTCTGTGGGGGTGGGCGGGGCTAAGCCATGTTGTCATCTGTCACAGGGCACGGAGTGACGTGATTGGCCGAGCTCCATCTGAAGCAGAACTGTGATTGGCCAAGACTCTGCCATGTGCTGTCTTCATGTCAATATGTTGTGCTTGATATGTCCGCCAGACCATGAGAAGTGATTATGTGTGTTTAGTTCTCTATTTTTTTTTCCAAAATGAGGTCTAATTATAGGTCCTCATGAAGAAGTGTGAAAGGTGCCACTCTGAGATCCCAGCTGGGGTGTTAGTGTTTGCGTAAGAGTGACTTTCACAGTGAATCTTACCTGCGGCTTCTGTTTATAGACACCCTCAGCAGGGTAATGTATGTGTGTCCATGTGTCCTCTGACCTGATCTGGGATAAAGGGTGTGCAGGGGTGGGAAAACTCTGCTGACAACTCCATCACCATAAGTTTGGACCAGAACCAATGTGCTAGTCTCAGCACTCTTGCTATTGTTCTTTCTCTAGCTCATGAACTTTGCTAGAGACTCCAAAAACTTATAATCTGCATATACCACTCTGAGTTGTACATGATTAAAGGGAAGAGAAGAGACAAGATGAGACAAGACGAGACACAACAAGATGAAATGAAACGAGAAGAAAAGGTAGGATCCAAAAAGAGAAGAGGTGAAATGAGATGAGATGAGACAAGATCAGAAGAGAAGGGAAATGAGAAGAGAAAATAAGATATGAGAAGATGAGACCAGAAGAAAAGAGACACCACAAGATTAAACATTAAGAGAGAAGAATATGGAAAAAGAGGAGAGACATGAGAAGATGATGCTAAATGAGAGGTTAAAAGGCAAGATGAGAAGTGAAGAGACAAAATGAAATGAGAAGAGAATGTAAGATGCAAGAAGAGGTGTGAGACAAGAAAATATGTTTCAAGACCCAAAGAGACAAAATGAGAAGGGAAGATGCGAAAAGAGAAGGGATGACATGAAAAGAGACAATATAAAATCAAATGTGAAGAGAAGATGCCAGATGATGCAAAAGGAGAAGAGACAAGAACAGACGTAAAAGTGAGAGAAAATCAGAAGAGAAGATGTGAGATGAGAAGTGAAGAGACAAAATGAAATAAGAAAAGAATGTATGATGTGAGATGAGACAAGAAGATACAAAATGGGATGAGACCAGAAGGGAAGGGACTGAAGAAAGGAACACTCTAGAGTTGAGAAGAGATTAGATGTGTTTAAACAGAATGAAATGAGAGAAGATGGAAAAGATGAGACAATCAGAAAAAAAGAGGCAAGATGAGAAGTGAAGAGACTAAATTAAATGAGAAGAGAACCTAAGGTGTGAGGAGAAAAGAAAAGACAAAATGAGCCGAGAAGAGACATGACAAGACGGAACATGGAGTAGGGAACATTCAAAACTAGAGGAGATGAGAAGAGATGAGATAAAAATGAATGAGAAGAAGCAAGATGAGAGGTGAAGAGACCAAATTCAATAAGAAGAGAAGATGCGAGGAGAGATGAGAGGAGACAAGAAGAGACACTACAAGAGCAAAATGACTAGAGAAGCTAAGATGCAGGATGCAAGATGCGAAGAGAAGATCAGAGAAGATTCAAGAAAAGATGCGAGAAGAGACTATGCGAGGAGATGCAAGAAGAGGAGATGAGATAGCAATATTAGAATAATATTAAAAGAGAAGGTCAATTAAGATGAAATATGAGTAAGATGCCAGATGAGAAGATGTGATGAGATGATGCAAGAACAACAGAGAGGAGAGACCATTCTGTATGGCATTGATTTAATCAGCCTGCAGCTGTTGGTATGTGCAGTGTAACTGCATTAAGCTCTATTGTTTACAGTGGTGTTTTATTGCCTGCGTTGCAGTCCGATAAGAAAGCTGCAGTTTGTCTGAACAATGCCAGCACACTGACCTCACACTCAAGGAGAATGCTCACTCACTCCGTCCACCGGACACACACACACTCCAAAGTGTTTTGTCTGACTGTCATAACACTTTAGACACAGCCCAGTGCCTTCAGTCCTGTTCATTTGAGCAACCCACTGCCATCATTACATCATTTGAAAACTACAAAAACAGCCTCCAGTGAAGGCAGTGCTTACCTACAGGTTTGGTTTAGGTTAATGCAATGCTTTAAGGCCATCACATGGAGCATATGTCAGTTGTTGATAGCACAGCGGCAAAGGTTTGTACCATATGTCATGTGAACTGAGAGCCTGTGTTGCCATGTGGCATTCAGTTGTAGCCTGATGGCAGATCTTAGCATGCTATCTAGGGCAATGTGTTAGTGAACAATAGTAGATTCACTAGTTTCTGAGAGTGACCCTCAACATCAGAGACTGAGAGAATGGATGAACAGAACCATTTCACCATAGCAGAAGGCAACCAGAAGAAACTGTAGGAAGCAAAAACCATATTCATGACGCATGCTGAGATGTAACCACTGTGTTTATTCGAGTCACACGGGTCATAGTTGTCCCATAATGCTCTATCACTCTCGGAAGATTGTGACCCCTGAGGCATAAGAAATGAAGTTTAGAAGATCTTTGGACTCGGTTTGCTGATGCACATCTCATGTTCACGTCTTGTAGGATTTGTTCAAGAGCTTGAAGTTCCCCAACATTTAGACTTATTCATGAAACCCAAGCAAAGATCATTTCTGTGCACATCATTCCTAAAAGCGTTCCTACACAAGAACGATTGACAGATATTGTTCTGCTCATGTTTCATGAATGAGGCCTGTTACGCGATCCCTAGTCACTGTAGAATTTTACATTTTTAGTGATTACCAGTATTCATTTCAAGCAAGTTTGGATGTCATTTGAGGGTCGGCAGGCCCCCCCCCCCCTGTATCTTCAGTGATATTAAAAACAAAGTGAATTACTGAAAATAAAGGTTGGGTTTTGCAGTTATATACTGCTATATCATTTTGCTTTGTTCATGTCTAGGTGTTGAATCCTTAGGGAAGTTACAAAGTCAATGTATTTCAGGAATGTTTTCTTTTCTAATCAGTCTGAGGTCTTCTGCCCATTCACTCACAAATATTGAAATTTGTTATAATAAAACAATACGCCATAAGTGGCTGTGCATTACTATCATTTTGCTATGAGTAGATGTTCTTAGCTTTGGCACATAGTGGAGGTTGTTTATATCTGATAAGCAATATAGTAACATGGCATATTAAAGAACAGTTCACCCAATAATGAAAATTGTTATTTATTGTCCTTATTATATGACTTTCTTTCTGTTGTCAAACACAAAATGAGATGTTCACGCTACCCGTTTTTCTATTCTTTTCCATTATATAAAATGGAATTTTGACTGAAAAAAACTGCTTAAAAGTGGTTTATACAACTATACTATGTTATATTGTCATATATTGTATGCCTTCTGAGCCAGACGAAATTCCAAGTCTTTTGAGTGAGTAAAAGACTAAAATTCAAGTCGTTATTCACTTATCAGTTTTATTCATTTTAAATCAAACATCTCAAATCTCATTCACATTCACAAATATGGTGCATAGAGACGTGTAATGCTAGTTTTGACATAATTGATAACCAACATTTCTTCTCACGAGTCTCATAATCAGTCATGACATGCCAAGTTTAAAAATGTGCTTTTTCAAAACACTGAATGAGATTTGAGAGCTAGGTATGATTGGGTAAAATCTTTCAAAATTGTCATAATATTGGCCTATTTTTCACACAAAGTTATCATACGGCTTCAGAAGTATAGTGCACAAGCCAAACTTATTGTCCATTTTGGGGTGTTTGCTAGTCATTATTCACTTTCATTATAAGGAGAAGAGCAGCATGAACATCCCGCACGTCCTTTTGTGGTCTACAAAATAATTAAACTTAAACTGGTTTGAAACAGCATGAGTTGAAGAATGAGTTGACAATGAGTAAATTATCCATTTAATACAAAAATGAAATGATGACGCTATTATACAACAGCTTTCCTCAATCAGGATTCTGAACTATTCATTTTATAACAGTTATTAACACATACTGTTCTCTTATATGGCATCCAGCAGCTCCACTGTCCTCCATCAGTAAGAGAAGAATCTCCTGTAAGGACCTGGGTCGTGGAGACTGTGAGGGCTGGCTGTGGAAAAAGAAGGATGCAAAGAGCTATTTCTCGCAGAAATGGAAGAAGTACTGGTTTGTTTTGAAGGGCGCCTGCTTGTACTGGTACATGAACGAAGAGGTGAGTGTGTGTGCGTGTTTGGCCAATACAGTTGTCTTTGTTGTTTCTCGTATCCACCAGCGCAGCAGAAACCGTATCGATCTAGAGATGAGACTTTAATTGGTGCCGGCTTTACCCTCTTGTGTGGAACAAGATTAATGCTCATCTACCCCAACAAAACAGTCTTCTACACATGCCGTTGCTGTAATGAAGATAAGGAACTTCTTCCAACAAACACTCCCCTTCTCTCCCGTACTTGTTCCCTTGCTCCTTCGCTTTTGATTAATTACCCTCAGTGTTTTCGCTTTTTATCACGGCCTGGGTGTGGGATACGGCTGCCGTTCTGGGGGTTTCAGAGGAAGTACGGACGGGGAGGGTTCCTCTCAGCCTGGTTTTGGTCCACTGAGAATCCTGCAACATAGTCCGGCTCTGCTTTAATTGATGATCTTCTACTGTGTGGGTTTTGTAAACACAGACAGGCTTACAGAGAGCCGCAACAATTTATGCTTTTCATTTATTTATGCAGAGCTCCTGTCAACGGTGCTGCAGTTTAATGCTGGGGAAAAAAGTAATGGAATGAACCAAGAAAGAGAAAGAAGAATAAGGAGATGTAACTCCTAACAAGGATGTAATGACATTACAGATGAGTGTAAGTGGGGTGAAATGTCCACACAATCCTATTTCTTTTTTTTCCCACCTTGTAGGATGAGAAGGCCGAAGGGTTTGTCAGCCTCCCTGAGTTTAAGATCGATAGAGCCAGTGAATGTCGCAAAAAATAGTAAGTAACTTTACAAACTTTTGAGTGATGTGATGAGGCTTGAGGAATTCTTATTGTGTCTTCGCTCCCTACACAGTGCGTTTAAAGCGTGCCATCCCAAAATCAAGAGCTTCTACTTCGCAGCAGACGGCGTGGACGATATGAACAGATGGTTGAGTCGTCTCAACATGGCGGCTGCCGGCTATGCAGAAAGAGAGCGAATCCGTCAAGAACAGGGTGAGAATTCCTGTAGTTAGAAAGGTTATGGGTTTGATTCCCAGGAAATATGTGTGTCTTGAATGTAAAGTAAGTCGCTTTCATTATAAGCGATTCCTTGATTCAATTTGAGTACTCCATGTTAAAAATTGTTATGGGGCCGACAAGACGTGAGACGTGCGGATCCATGTGCAAGCTTTTATTTAAAGCAGAAGGACATTTTGAGGACGTCCGGTTTTGGTCCGCTTTGTAACATTCACTGATGGACTTTTTGAGGACGTCCGCAATTGGTCCTCTTTTTTTTAGATGCCAATGTTTCCTGTCATAGCTATGCAAAGATTTGATTTCAAAAACAGTATCATAGCTATTAAACTATATCTTATGATTTTAAATCTGTATTTAACTTCAAAAAGATCTCAAAGTAAAAAGAGCTGCTAAAGTCCGATTTTGAGGTGGTTGTGCTTTACAATTAGATTATTTTAGGCTGAAGCTTAATTCAAGTGAAGAAGGATTCTGAAAGTCTGACAGTAATCAGTGTTGAGTACCACTGTTGTTACGGGGCTGACGAGACGTGAGACATGCGGATCCATGTGCAAGCTTTATTAAAGCAGAGAGGTCAGAAACACAGGCAGGGTCGAACAATGGCAAACAGGTATATGGCAGGCAAGACACAAGAATAAACCTACCTAGCGTAGGTCAACGATTGGCGAACGGAATCAAAAGGGCGAGACTAGAGGGATAAATCCAGGAAAACAGGCAAAGATCAGAAACCAAGAAAACAGACAGGGCAAGACTAGGCTAGGACTGGGGAAACTAACGAGGGCTCTGTAAAGTAGCTATCACTGCTGGCGATAAGCGCATACAATACTCGGCAGTTAGAAGGAGTGAGATGGAGTGTTAAATAGTGAGTGAGTGATATGAAACAGCTGTGTGCAATCAGTGCTGTGTGCAATCAGTGCAATGAATGATGGGATATGTAGTCCGGGGTGATATGCAACAGTGTGTAGTGCGAGAGTCAATGAAAATGGAAAGGGTGACCTCTGATGGCTAGCAGACGGAAGTTCATGGACCGGATACGTAACAAAAATTGAGTACTCCATTGCTTTTTGCCCATGTCAAAATATCAGAAGTGGCGCATTCCACAGAAGAGAATCCATGAAAAGCATTACTAGTCCGTTTTTCAAGGCTGCATGTAGGGCTGGGAGATATGGCAAAAATTTCAGATCTCGATTCTCAATTTTTTTACGATTTTTAACTAGGGATACACCGAAATGAAAATTCTAGGCCGAAGCCGAACAAAATGAAACAGTGGGCCGAAGGCCAAATATCAAACATGGTTTTTCACATTTTTCCCTCATGTAGGCCTATTTTGCAATTTTTTTCACAATTGCATTAATTAAATTGCCAAAATTTTCTTTTTACTGTTTTGTCCTGCTTTTCAAATAAAAAAATCAATTACAAAACAACAATTAAAAAATATTTACTTAACACTGAACATTTTTTTAACATTATAGCAGACATTATACCAACAAAGCACAATTTAGCTTAAAATGCCGTTCGGTGTCTGTCCACGGCGCCCAGCTATGTCGTGTTGTACTTGTAAGAATTGTTCTAGACCAGCGGTTCTCAATTCCAGTCCTTGCGTACCCCCGCTCTGCATGTTTTGCACGTCTCTCTTTGTTAACACACCTGATTCGGATCATCTCGTTAGAAGTGAGCTCCGTGCATGAACTGTGTTCCGATTGACATGGTCCCTACACAGTGTCCATTGCTCCCTACTCCCTGAGCAGGGGAAATCCGTTGACGTTTACTTCACTTCAGAATATTCATTTACAGATTTGCGCTACGCCGTTGCCTGCAGCGTCTTCACACACAAACAAAACTTACTAGAGAAGCGTGAAGTGGGACATAATATACCTCTGTAAATAAATACAGTTTAAATTCACATCTCGCACACTTAAATGCCCTTTGTATGGAACATATACGCTCCCTTCAAACTGTAATCGTGGCGGAATATCCGGTAATGCCCACTTCCCTAGATCTTTTTTATGCCTAAACATCCACACTACACACTGACTAAAATTAAAAAAGTGAAAAAGCATAATAGGACCCCTTTAACAGAGCTGTTGTAGGGTAATTATTATTGCAATTCGTGCGTGCATTAGAAAATATAACATTCTGCAGTTTATTTACTAATCGTTTGAGGTAATTTTGCGATTTCAATCATCATACAGCAACCTAACCACCAGCATTAGCCACCTCTTCTTCTCATCGGAAACTTGATGCAGCACTAAGTCTGTCGCTGTCGGTGCTTCACGCTTGTAATGATTTCTGCGTCTTTCTCTGATAGTTTTAAATACTTTCACACTGTCGACATGTTTGCTGCATTAGCGCGTACCTCTATTTTGATCGCGTTCGTCATTGTTCGGTTCATATTATTCGGCGTTTTTGTTTATTCGGCCGAACACCGAAAGAGACTTTTTTGCTATTTTCGGATGGATAATTTCGGTTGCCGAATATTCGGTGCATCCCTATTTTTAACTAGTCAACTTGAAAATGTAACTACAACATGATTCAAGTAACTTTTTCTTTATTAACTCTCTAGTTAAAAAAAAATTATATTCCAAGTACAGTTGTCAACATGATGTAAATGTTAAACAAATCACTTGTTATATATTTTTGCGGAAAAGATGCTTGAACTACAGCTACATCTTGTACAAACTTTTCTTATACACATTATATGTTCAGAAATAATATGAGAAAAATGCTTTAAAAAAATCTTAAAAGTCAACGAAATTCAAAATGACTGAAAGTATAACACCAGTAGACTATTATTAATATAAATGTTCTGTAAAAGCAACAGCAGCTTTCAGCCTGTCACCATGATGCAAACATGAAATATCAGACATACAGTAGTAGTTACAGGTTTTTTATTCGCTTGCGCTCCTTTTCCATTGTTTTTTTCTATGTAAACATGGACACATTTGACTGTTGCACTTGCATCTCTTGCAGCGTCTCGTACATTAAACGTCATTCTAAATATGTGGCGCTCAAGTTAAAAGAAGTTCACTCCCATTTTCTTGCATGTTTTTCCCATTCCACTGCTCGTGTTTCATCTTTGTCAACACAAAAGCGCATTCTGTGTGAATGGCGCCTAGCGATATGAGTGCGCCACACGTGAGTGGTTAATCACATACACAGACATGCGGTTGGATCATTCTTTTCTCTTTACTGTTATCATTGGCATATTGTCAAAGTGTCTAATTCTAATGTTTGATAATATTTCTTTTCAAAATAGTGATTCCTCAATTTCTAAAAAATAAAATCGTAGCAAAACATTAAATCCTAATTAATCGATAAATTCTGAAAAATCACCCAGCCCTAGCTGATATATTAAAACCATTTAAAAAGCATAATAAAGCATAATGTTATTGTGAATTTACAAATGCTAAGATTCAATTAAATAAATACATGCAATGCAGGTTAAATATATGTTCTTTAATTATTTACATGCGTGTAGGTTATGCATATGCATCTCAGAGTGCCTCCATTCACAGTAAATGATGCTCCACACAAACAGTTATCATTTATAATTTTTATCATGTGTGGAGCGTCTCAAACTCCATCTCTGAGTATTGGGGTGAGTTAAAGTCGCACTGAATTGTAAAGTACATACAAGTGTAACAGATTATCTAACTTGGTTCTATCCTTTGGTTGTTGATTAGTTTTTTGAGATGAGGGTGTTGCACTCAAAAATGAAGGTCAGCTTGCAGTCAACGGTGGAGGAGCAGGGTTTAAATGAAGGGATTGGAGAAGTCTGGCATACATTAGCCAGTCTCACTGAAAGGTTATTTATATATATATATATATTGTATATTATATATTGAAATTTTGATAAAAAGTTATGAAATATTAAGAACATTTACATTAACATAGACATTTACAGTAAAGTCTAAAAAAATGCATTTGCAAAATGTGGTGAATGTTTGTCTTAAACATTTCCTACATCATCTTCATAGGATGTTGAGATGTCTAAAAAATAGCCCAATGCAGAAAAAAAGACAAAAAGGGGAAGGAAAGTAGGTGTGTTTCAGGTAAACTGATGTTATGTGATCCACAAGTCCACAACAGAGGTCAAGGTTTGGCTAGTCTCAGCAGCCTCAGACGTCACGCCCACGGACCGTTGACTGACTTTTGAAACACTTAAGGAGTTTCGAAGTCGTCATCGGATTGGTTGAATTATACAGGATTTCCGGGAGACGTGCGTGTCGCCTTCTTTAACGTTCCACCTGGAAACAAAGATGCTGTGATGCCAAACCCCCTCATGAAAAAAGAAAGCTGTCGTGTTTACAACTGTGATGACGAGCGCTTATCAGGATCAACTAAACGCTGGATTTTCAAAAGTATGTGAAATATTTAAAGTTTGCGGCATAGAATCTTTAAAGGGCTAGTTCACCCAAAAATAACATTTCTGTTATTACTTACTCACCCTCATGCCGTTCCAAACCTGTGAGACCTTCGTTTATCTTCGGAACACAAATTAAGATGTTTTGATGAAATCCGAGAGCTAGTCAGCAACACAACTGTAATGTTCCCAGGCCCAGAAATGTAGTAAGGACATCAGTAAAATAGTCCATGTGACATCAGGGGTAATTAATGACAGAATTTTCAGTTTTGGGTGAACTATCCCTTTAAGCTGAATCCGGCACTTCTCACTCGTGATGTGGAAGCTGTCCTCAGTAAAATGCGCAGCACACAATAGCAAATTGGGGTTATAATGCTCAGGAACAGAGTTAAAAAGTAAATTGCAACCACTGTTTCCTGACATCATCCGCTTTCGGAAGCCCAAACAAAGACATTTGGGCACGGAGGTGAAAAAAAAACAGCGTTTCAGGCAGTCGCGCAGCGTCGCGCCACGTCTTTAAAATGCAAATACATTATTTTCTATATGAGTGTAGGCACACCGGTGGCGCCGTTCGGCGTCTGTCCGCGGCGCCCAGCTACACCGTGTTATACTTGTA